AAAAGCCCGTGTCCATGTCAAGTGCAAAATGCATTCGTTCCATCCCAGTAGCTCCCCAAGTCTTAACTCATTGCAACATCTACTCTAAAGTCCAAAGTCTCATCTACATACTGGCTGAATCAAGTATGGGTAAGACTCCAGGTACATTCATCTGGAGACAAAATCCACTCCAGCTATGAACCTGTGAGACCAGGCAAGTTACGTGCTTCTAAAATACAATGGGACATGCATTGGGTAGACATTCCCGTTCCAAAAGAAAGAAATAGGAAAGAAGGAAGGACTGATGGCCCCCAAGTAAGTCTAAAACTTAGCAGATCCCGCTGGATCTTCAGAAACAAGAATAATCCTCTTTGGTTCAATGCTGTACCAGTGACACCTCTGGGATTGCAATCTCTCCCCGACTTCTCAGGAGGGTTCTGCCCATGCTGTGGCTCTATGCAGAGGCTCTGTCCATGTTGCAGTTCTGCAAGGCTCTGCCAGGCAAGGCTCTCCCCCACTCAGCTCTGGGAGGTCCAGTCCTCATGGCTTCAGGTGGAGGCTGTCTGGCCTGTTGAAACCAAGGCCGTGACCCTGATGATCTCTGAATATCCTTCAGAGCTATTCTTCCCTCTTCCTGAAGAACAGCATGAGTTGAGGGCCACGTAGCTCTATCATCCTGTCCTGTAGAATCTAGAACTCAGCTCTTTTTACTTCTATCCCATCTCAGTCTCCTTAGGCTCAACTGGCAGTGTTCCTGCTGGTGTGGCTGTTTTCAGTCCATAGTTCTCACCCACACCAATCTCCTCACCACAGGGCTGCTAAACCACACCCTTACTGTTCTCATCCAAACACACTTTCTCCTGTTTTTGCCATATGGATAGGCTGAGAATTTCCCAAATCTTCAAGTTCTGGTTCTTCTTGGCCTAACATTTCCTTCTTCAATTCATCTCTCTCTTTTTGCATTTTTCCATAAGCAGTCAGGAGGAGCCACACTTACAACAGCTAAGTGTCCAAAATCATCGCTTGCACGTTTGACCTTCCACAAAAACACTAGAACATGAACGTAATTCAGGCAAACTTTTTGTCGCCGTAGAGCACAGACCATCTATTCCCATTATCCAATAACACTTTCCCAATTTCCATCTGAGGCTTCACTAAAATGGCTTTTACCACCCACATTTCTACCCACACCCAGTGTGCCATCATTTATGTGTTCTCTAAGAAGAGGCAGACTCTCTCTCCAGTTCTCCCCTTCTTTGTGAGCTCTCACCAGTGTCATCATTAACAGTCCCTTCACAGGATCTTAGCTTTTTCTAGCATCAGCCTCAAGACTTTTCCCACCTCTGCCCAGTTCAAAGCCACGTCCATGTGTTTCTGTGCTTGCTACAGCAACACCCTACCTCTCAGTACTAATTTCTGTATTTGTCTGCTTGGGCTGCTGGAGCAAAATACCACGCTGGCTGGTTTAAACAACAGACACTTATTTCTCAGAGTTCTGGAGACCAGCCTCCACATCCAAGATCCAAGATCGAGGTCCAGTAGATACAGCGTCCATTGTCTTCCTGGTTTAGAGATGGCTACCTTCTTGCTGTGTCCTCACATGGTAGAGAGAGAAAGCTCTTGGGTCTCTTCCTTTTTTATATTAGAAAGGGTATTAGGGGCGCCTGGGTGGCGCAGTCGGTTAAGCGTCCGACTTCAGCCAGGTCACGATCTCTCAGTCCGTAAGTTCGAGCCCCGCGTCAGGCTCTGGGCTGATGGCTCAGAGCCTGGAGCCTGTTTCCGATTCTGTGTCTCCCTCTCTCTCTGCCCCTCCCCCGTTCATGCTCTGTCTCTCTCTGTCCCAAAAATAAATAAACGTTGAAAAAAAAAAATTTAAAAAAAAAAGAAAAAAAAGAAAGGGTATTAATTATATAATGAGAGCCCCACCCTCATGACCTAATCTGAAGCTGATTAGCCCCAAAGGCCCCACTTCTAAATCCCATTATTTTAGGGATTAGGATGTCGACATATGAATTGTAAGGGAACACACACATTCAGTCCACAGCATTCCTCATCTGTAAAATGGATCTGATATCAGCCTACCTGTCTTATATGGATTCTTTAAGGAAGAGGTGTGACCTGTCTGAGCCTATGCCTCCTTGACATTCCCTGGTTCTTGCTTCATGTATTTTGAAGCTTTGTCATTAAGCTCATAAATGTTTAGGATTGTTATGTCCTCTTGATGAATTGATCCCTTTATTATTATGAAATTACCTTCTTTATCACTGGTAAGATTCTTTACTCATAAATCTATTTTGTCTGATATGAATATAGCCACTCCAGCTTCCTTTTGATTAGTATTAGCACAGTATCATTTTTCTGTCCTTTTATTTCTAACATACTTGTGTTTTTATATTTGAAAAAGATTTATTGTAGGCAGCATATAGTTGTGTATTGCTTTTATATCCATTCTTACAATCTCTGCATTAATTAGGATTTTAGATCATTTATGCTTAATAGATTATTGATCTATTGATATAGATTTAAATCTGTAATCTTACTACTTGGGTTTTTTTATTCTCATGTTTGTTTCTTTTCTGCTTTTTTGGGTTTTTTTTAATTAACTGAGAATTTTCTATCACTTCATTTTATTTATTTGGTTGGCTCGTTAGCATTATTTTACTATTTATTTTGTAATTTCAGTGATTTTTTTAGGATTAAAAGCATATATATTTAACTTATCACTTTATACTTTCAACTGATGTTATACACTGCACATAGAATACAAGGACCTTATAATAATATGCCTCCACTTTTTCTTGTTAATATTTGTGCAACTGTTGTCATACATTTTACTTTTACATGTGTTATAAACCAAACACTGTGTCATTATTACCTTTTGATTATCAATTATTTTTAGTGAGATTTAAAGAATAAGAAAAAATCATATATTTACCTTTGTAGTTACTGCTTCTGGTACTCTACATTCCTTTGTGTACATTTAATTTCTATCTGATATCATTTTCCTTCCGACTGAAAGACTTTCTTTAACATTTCTTGCAGTGTGGATCTGCCGATGGTTAATTCTTTCAGCTTTTTACATTTTGAAAAGTCTTTATTTCTTTTTAGTTTTGAAATATATGTTTTTTTGAGTATAGAGTTCTAGGTTGACTTTTTTTTCTTTTAGTACTTTAAAAATACTGTTCCATAGCCCACTAAAGCTTTGTTAAGTTTTGTACTCTGTTTTCTCTCCGTGTTTCATATATTAATGTCTTCATGTTCATTGACCTTTTTTTCTCTCTGCAGATCTAATCTGCTATTAATCTAATCCAGTGTATTTTTCATTTCACATATTGTAATTGCATCTCAAGCTTTGACTTGGGTCTTTTTATATCATTCATGAATCTATTTAAATTCTTGAATATCTATGGTCATAACACAACTATAACTGTTACAATGCCCATTTCTGCTAAATTTAGTATCTAGGTCAATTATGGGTCAATTAGGATTGATTGAATTACATTTTCTTTATGAAAGAAATGTTTCTCTGGTTTTTTCCATTCCTGAATTTTTTTTTCTAACAGCTTTTTTGAGATATAAGTCACATATAAAAAAATTCATGCTTTTAAAGTGTTCAAATCAGTGGCTCTTTGCATATTCACAGAGTTACACAACCCCGACTATTATCTAATGTTAGAACATTTATCATCATCCCAGAAAGGAACCCTATATCCTACAGCAGTCATTCCCCATTCTGTCCCAACTCTACTCTGCCCCTGACAGCTGCTAGTGTACTTTCTGTCTCTCTGGATTTGACTATTCTGGAAATTTTGTAAAAAGGGAATCATAAGTATGTAATCTTTTGTGGTTGACTTTTCTCACTTAGTATAGTATTTTCAAGATTTATCCAAGTTAAACACGTATTTGTACTTCATTTCTTTCTATTGTTGAATAATACTTCGTTGTGTGGATACAACACATTTTGTTTATGCGTCCATTCACCAGTCGATGGATATTTGGGCTGTTCATATCTGGAAAAATTTTATGGGATGTCAAACATTACAAAATTCACCTTGTCTTGTACTGGATATTTTCACTGCTATAAATATTCTGACTTTCGTTCTGGGATGCAGTTAAGTTAGTTAGTGACAATATCATCTGTATGAATTTTGCTTTTAATATTTGTTAGGCAATACCAGTGTGGTGTTCAGTCTAGATCTAATTATTCCCCACCACCGAGGTAAGACCCTTATGCGTTGCATCCAATGCCCTGTGAATCTTGAGGGCTTCTAATCCGGCTGGTGGAACAGGCACTATTCCCAGCCCTGTGTGAATGCTGGGCACCTTGACCTCCAATCCATTCAGGTAGTTGTTTCCCTAGTTTCTGGTAGTTTACTCGAATACCTTCACAGATCTGCTTGGCGGCATACCCAGGTGGGACCGTCTTCAGAGTCCCAGAGTGCTCTCTCTGTGTAGCTCTATCCTGTGAACACCAGCCTCTTCTCAGTCTCTCAGGTGCGAATCCTTAACTCAGGGAAGCTGCTGGGCTCCTCCTGGACTCCTTCTCTGCGCCACAGCCTGGAGACTCTCACAAAAACGTAAAAATTCTGCAATCATAGGCTTACTTCGTTTGTTTTCCACATCTCAGAGAGTTCTGTCCTTCATTACCTTAGGCAATACCTTTGAGACTGTGGTTATACTCTGTGTGTTCTCTGGTTGTTTGGGGTCGGAGGGAAAATCTGTTTTTGTTACTGTATCTCAGCCAAAAACATTTGGGCCATGACCCATCATATAAATGGCTAAATTACTCATTGGTGGCTGCCAAAGCGGCTGCATAGAGAAATGTAAACTCTCTATGTGTATATGTGAGATGTCAGTATCAATATCAGTATCAATATCCATATATCCCAGCCTTTTAGAAAAGGATTAGTGGTGGCTTTTGTTTCTGAGGATGGATAATATGTTGGTAACCACGCCTTTAGGAAAGCCCTTTGTACCATTTGCCTCCTTGAATGTGGGAACATTTATGTCTCCTTCCACAGGTGATCAGCGAGTTTGAAGCCTCTCCCGACTCATTTTCCTACAGAATTCCCAACCTGAGTCGGAACCGTCAGTACAGCGTCTGGGTGGTCGCGGTGACTTCAGCTGGGAGAGGAAACAGCAGTGAAATCATCACGGTAGAGCCATTAGCTAAAGGTGTGCCACTGTAGAAAAGACCTCATTTCCCATCGTAATTGGACTGTTTTTAAATCCCTGTTCTATCAGAAATAAAGCTTACGGTGCCCTAAAAATCCCCAGAAAACCAGAACATCACGTGTTATCACATTTCAGCGTAAGAAATAAGGTTGCTGCTAGCTGGCACTGGGCTTTTGTGCAAATCAGAAAAGACTCCACCAAGGGTTAGTGGCTTTACAACTCAAAGTGCCTTAAGGAAAGTAAAGACAAAGAGCCCCCACTCACCCCTTGGGGTAAGTGAAAATCACCCCATAGTAACTCCTCAAGGAAGTTCTACTTTCATCAAAATCAAGCATCGTATTTCTTAAAGAGAAATGTTTATTTTATTCTGGAAACTTACAAATATAAGAAAATCGTCAGTTCTTCTTGTATTGAGAGAATTGCTATAAGCAAGACCTTAATTAATAGTGGGAAGTCCGAGTCCCCAAAGAACAAAAGGTTCCTAAAAATGAATACGGTATCTTCACACTGAGATGTTATACTGGTCCTTAGAAAGCACATATAGGCACAGAATATTCTTACTCTACTTCTGGTAATTGCTCCCACCCAGTGTTTAGGGTACCGCTATATTAGCACTTTTCACAAGTAAATGTACTAACATCACAATTCCAGGGCCAGCAGGAGGTGCCCCCTGATTTTGGAATGTACCACATTGGCAATGTTTTACTAACAAGGCTGCTAGGTGCCCAAAAGAGAACAGAACACTCCAAGATTCCGATTTTACCTCTCAGAGCTCATGATAACGTGCTTATTAGTGTGATACTAAGAAAGAAGCAGAATAGAGTAGTGAGGGAAAAGGAGAATACTGTCACATTTTGAACACAATTACAGTTAGAGAGTAAATGTATTGTTGCTGAAGAAAATAAATTCGTGGATTTTTTTGTCTATTAGAATCTTTGATTATGATATCCAGCCACCCCTAACGTACCCTCTCACATTTAGCAACAGTGATTATCAGTGGACATAAGGACTGCACCGTGGGATAAAAGCAAACCAGCCCATGAAATGCTGCAGTGGCTTTACTTCTTCTCTCCTGCTGTGTGTTCAGTGTCAGGCAGGTGGTTGGAAAAGTCCTTTTTCTCAAGAGACATCTGGCAGGAGGCAGAAATGGAGAGGGGTCAGCACTCAGACACCCCCATACCTGGGATGGGAAGAGCCTACCGGGGAGACAGAGTCAGGTCCAGGAGTAGCTCTGCAGAACACCAGCTTTCTCTGGGGAGGGTGAGGCACAGGGGATGCCAGAGAAGAAGGGGCGAGGGCAGACAGCAAGAAGAACCAGGAGCATAAGGCCAGGAATAACAGAGATGTTTCGGAAGGGAGGGAGTGGTCTGCCATGGCAGCAGCTGCTAGGAGGTCAAGGCAAACAAGACTAGAAGTGCCCTTGGGTTGGCCACACAACCTCGCTGACCTTGAAAGCAGTTTCCTGGGGATGGGAGCTGGTTGAGGGGACAGAGTAGATGGGAGGTGAGGAAACAGGTCTGCTTGGCAGAAAGTTCTCCAAAAACACACACCACCTGGAAGAAGCCACAGGCCAGAGTGAGGATGGGTCTCACCCAAGGAAAGGCTCTGGTTTCACTGTGGGCTAATGTGTCAGCCAGCAGAATATGTTTGTATGGTGATGGGAAAACCCAAGTGGAGAGGGGGAGGTGATAATCCAGGAGGAAGAGCAGGGCCACAGGGCTGAGGTTTGGAGGAAGAAGGCCAAGGGGGCTTATAGGTTTGGTGACAGGAAATGCAGAGTTCCCAACCTGGGTTTTCTATTTCCTCTGCCAAGCATTAGGCAATTTGGGGTGTGGTGGAGAAAGGAGTTTGAGAAAAGGAAGGACAGTAGGAAATCATCACTGCAGAGAAGCGGGAAGGAACTTACTAACAAAACAGTAAGATTGGAAGGGAGAGCGGACAGGTCAGCCGAGGCCGGAGACTGTAAATGTTTGGTGGGTCCTAAATTCTCTGTTGTATGGATTTCTCCAGAAATGTTCAGCTTCTCATGTTCAAGTGGGGTTCCCTCAGAGTTAGGCTTGATCCAGATGGGTTTTCCAAAAAGGGACTGAGCTAAGGAACCTCTCAGGCACAGAGCAGATGTTCTAGATAAAAAGCTCCACCCAGAAGCCCCAGACACTGGCAAACCACAAAGGCTGACAGGATCAAGCTGGAGAGGTGAAGCTTCCGGCAGCTCAAGGAGACTGGTCCGGGTTATCCTGTCATTGCTGGGAGATGGATGCAGGCAGCATCAGTGCAAATCTGTCGGTGGGAAGCAAAGTCCAAACTCTAGAGTTCGGGACTCCAGAGTCCCCGCAGAGAGGACTGCTGTTTAGCAGATCAAGTGGCAGAACGGAGACATGGACCCAGTCCCGGAGGAACACCATCCTGAAGGAGCCCAGGGCCAGGGTCGAGCAGTACAGGACCCAGGAAGGACGTCCAGGTGCAGGTGGATTGATTCTCGGAATCACCTGAGGTGCGCGTTAAGACTCCTTAAACCCATCAAAGAGCCATTGAGTCACAGGTCAGCATAGGAATCTGCATTTCTAACAGATTCTAGATGATTCTATTGCCTGTGCCCATTTGAAAACCAGTTCTGGTGAGCTCTGTAGCTTATTAGTCTTGGAATTTCAGATGAGGACCCTTGACCTTCCAGCCGCCCCCAATGGGCATTAATTCTACACACTGGGTGTGTCGGGCTTCAAGACGAAGTGGTTCTGGCCTCTGTTTCTCAAAATGCTGATGGGAAATTATTCATAAGGCCTGGAATTGATTTTAAGGGTTATAGCCAACACATGACAGCACTAAAATGGAATAGAGTCAGATAGTCTAGACTGACTTGAAAGGAGAAAAGTACAAAAGATTGGAATGCATGAAACATGGCAAGTATTAATTTGGGGCACTTTGTTTTCACTCACATCCCAATACGTGTATAACTTTTGGATTCAACATGTGGTTTGTTCCTTACAGTAGGAAGGGGGATGTTCAAAAGCTTGGAAGTCCCTACCTCTAGCTGGATTTCCTGATCATCCCAATTTTGCTGCAAAAATACTCCTCATCCTATAAAAAGATGGCCTGAAGGGCTTGAAATGGAGCATGCCACACCACCAATGCCAGAAGTTCAATGCGACCTGACCAAAATATTTTTGTTACAATAAAAAATTAAAAAACGTCAATGACTGAAAAAGTGGCCTCCACCTTAGAATACCATGGAGAAAGTGTGCCGTCCATGAGCCGTCTCTGAAGGCTCTGCTCTAAGGAGGAAGACCTTGCTGTAATATTTGCTGCACAAAACAGGCTCAGCTTCTGAACCCACCAGCATGTCGTTTCAGTTCTGGCCCACAGCACTCCGAACAATGAAAATAAGAGTTGTTTGGTAGACCTTAATGACCAAGGCTGGTGTTCTAGACCGGGATGCCTCTGTAATGACTTGACTCCATATTTCCTGAAATTCTAGGGCTTTCCTGGAGAGCCTGCTCCCCATGCCCATTGGCCAGTCCAGACCCTCAAGTCTCAGATGATTCAGGGTCCCAACACTGGTCCAATCTTTACGAGTCTAGAACCAGACTGGGGCTACCTTCCATATGTGGTCTCTGTGTCTATGTGTCTGGGCTGGCTGAGCTTCCAGAGGGTGTGTCCCAGAAAGCAGCATCCCGACGTGTGGCAAAGGTGGGGCACATTGTTTCGCTTCTGGAAGACTTATGTCTTGGGGTCAGCTTCCGTGTCTCACTCAAGACGATAGCGCTAGGAACCTGTCAGGGCCAGCTCCTCGGTCTTCACGGAGGCCCCTGCCGACACAGGTGCACCCGGGCTCTCTCCTATCTACTCCTGCTGCTTTGGGACCGTGCCGATACCAGATGCCTCTGGCAGATGCTTCTGTTGGAGCATCTGAATCACCGTCCCAATCAAACAGTGTTCCTCGAGAGAAGCCACTCTGAAAACATTCGCTGTCCTTAACGTTTGTGCCGAAGACCAAATTGATACAATAAAGCCAGGAAAGTACCACAGAATTGATAAATAGAAGTTGTTCTGGTTTTACCTCTCCATCTTTTGGGGCTTTATGCCCTGTATTGTCTATTCTCTCCGATATTAAAAGTATATTGAATGTGCATTTTTGGTGTTGAGATAAATTGCTTAATAACGTGCCTTGACAAATAATTGGGCTCATAGAAAACACAGCTTGGGGCTGCTGGGCTTATGAAGACCCAAATATTTAATTTCGGCTCCTCACATTTAGTCAATAGGAGGGGAAAATGCTCCAGTAGGGATTTTCAGGTATTTGTATGTTCTTCCAAAGACAATCCTTTATACACATCCTGATACCAGGGAATAGTGTTGACAGGTGTGACATCAGTTGGCTGTGCTGCATTCACCCTTGTAGGGGGTGTTACTATATTGGGAAAGGTCATTTTGGCCTTTATGTCACTAAAGCCATGGTGCAATTGGACTTCTGCTGTGTTTGGTGCTCCAGCTCCGGCACGAATCCTGACCTTCAGTGGCACAGTGACTACCCCATGGATGAAAGACATCGCCTTACCTTGTAAAGCTGTTGGGGACCCTTCTCCTGCAGTAAAATGGATGAAAGACAGGTAACCAGTAACCTAATGTATGCCTTTAGTGAAACTCTAAGACAGTACATCAGACATACCAGGATGGGGCTAGTGGTCTAATTCTAATTCTCCAGGAAAATTCCAGGAGACATCAAGTCTTCTGATGGAGAGGAAGTTGGGGTAGGGGGCAGAATCTCAGCTTCAGCACCAAGAGGGTCTGGTGTATTGTATCAATCTTCTGTAAATTCAGAGCCTTTCAGTTCATAAGAGAATGCTTGAGAGGAAAATAGTCTAACCAACCCAATGATCTCTGCACTTCATCATGTAAATTTCCTCTATAACCAAGATGAACACTCCCACCCTCATATGAGATCGGGTGGCCATTTTTCTCCTTCTGAGATAATGGTCCAACTAACCCTACCTCCAGTGCTCTGAGAAATAACTTCAAGAAATGGAATGCATTAGGACTTCACTAATAGAAAATCTGGTTTTCCACATTAATAGTAACTATTAAAATAATAGCAGCCAAGATAGGAGGGGGAAAGTGGGTGAGATGTGTTCTGTCCTGTAACTTTTCTAAGTGCTTTCTCTATGTTCAGAAGAAGAAATTGGAATATAAATAAAGGGCTGAGACTTCACTAATGAGCATGGAGATTTGATATAAAATGGGTTCAGAAGAGTGCTGATTTTCAAAGAAAAGCACTTAAAAGATATAAACTATTGAAATAATGGTCTTGGCCCAGGGACCACTTTTCTCCTCTCTTTTAAAATCAGTTAATCCAAATAAAAATAAGTAAATAAAAAAATAAGTAAATAAAATCACTTAATCCAAGGAAATGAATAAGCTCCCAACGGTCAAGAGGCATTCTGCCTGATGAGAGGGTGACCGTAGGTGACTGGACAGTCGCCACCGTGGATATGGTTATGATCACAGGGAGCTCCCTTTACACTGAGACCAACTCATCACCCTCTTGAGAGACCACAGTCCACTTTCGTTGTCAAAATCATCAACACCTGTGAATTTAAGCAGATCTACAAGAGACCCTCAAATTTAGTTGTCCCTATGCGATTGGGTCCAAATGGCACTTCTGTCCCAGAAGGAATTTTTACAAGAGGAAGTCGCCGTGCGTACATGGTGGAGGAGAGAGAGAGACACCCATTAGGGATGTGATGGGCCCTGACAGATGTGAGAGCCAGAATCCAAGCCCCCGGCACAGAGCTAACTTCCACCATAGCCTGTTTTTTTTTACAAAGAACGAAATTCAGCCGTTTGATTGTTTATGTCATAGAATCACAGTTTAGTTCCAAATGTGTTATCTACTTCAGAAAAGACTCTTTATGCTTTTCCCCAGTCTCAGCTAATTTGGATTGTAATTTCTTTAATCTGTGCCCTTTTCTTCCTGTGAGGCAGTAACGGGACACCCAGCCTGGTAACGGTTGATGGGCGGAGAAGCGTCTTCAGCAACGGGAGCTTCGTTATCCGAACCGTGAAGGCGGAGGACTCCGGCTATTACAGCTGCATCGCCAATAACAACTGGGGATCAGATGAGATTATTTTAAATTTACAAGTACAAGGTACCAAACCGGGGGACTCTTTTTAACGGCTTCTTTAGATGCGTGCCTATATGCAAAGAGTCACATCGACCTGATCTAAAAATCAGCCTTTCTAAGGAGCTCATTGCTATTTTCTAGTACAAAAATAGATAAATGCATGCTCATTTTGGAAAATGGAATGCTGCCAATCAAAGAAAATAGAAACGTTCATCGTCCCAAAGATAACACTATAAAAAGGATAAAAGATATATCGTTATTATCTTTTACTAACATTTTTGCATCGCGGAGAAAGTTCATCTTGATAACGTCCGCCAGTTGCATGGCTTCCTTTACATATGTGGAAGTGTAACCCAGAAGACATAAACAAAAGATAGGCCTAAATTGAGGTCTTTTATCTGCTAATTGGCTAAACTTTTCTATGCAATGTACATTAAAAGGACTCCAACTAAGCAAACTGCTATAATATGTAGTGGGGTTTTTAATACAGCGTATATGGTTTTTCTTGATATCAGACACCAAAAGTACATGACAAATCCAAGATGGTCAAATTAAAGCCAGGTGTAAAATCCCAAGTGGTCACCATCTGGGTTCAGGTTTGGTTGCACAGTGATACTTTATCAGTAGGAAAATCAAAGGGTATGCTTCTTTGGATTTAAGTGGTGTCACATTAATAAATCACAGCAAGTAACAATAAAATTAGTATTGTCCTCAGTGAGAGACGAGGGAAAGAGAGCAAGTATATTTTAAAAAAATGATGCAAAGTCGATCTGCAGTTTTCCCCACCTTCAATATATATGGGCCTCTCTCAGAAGAAAAGAGATGGGCATTTTATGGGAAGCTTCCTATATCATTTGGATAACATGATTCTGAATTTCTTCCATGGTTCTGTCTTCGGTGCTGATCCAAAAGAATATTGAGGTCCATTGGTTGGAAGTTATGTATTCTTCAAACCTTGTATGAGTATGCAAGTTCTTGTGTAGCCACTCAATGGCACGCCTTTGATTTTCAGAGGTGTGTGTGTGTGTGTGTGTGTGTGTGTGTGTGTGTGTGTATGTGACATCTTGGAAGAGTAGCTTAAAAAGTGGAAATTTTTGCAGTTCTTTTTCTCACTAGCCATTCTCGCCTCCCCCTCCCCCTCCCTGAGAACAGAACAGCTAAGTGGGTGCCACTTATCTTTCTCACTTGAATCATGGCTGAAATTCAGAGTAATGCATGCATCCTTAGTAAGTTGAAAGAAGATTTCAATCAGCGACGAACAACTCAGAAATTCAAGGAATCCGAGCGGAAATGTGTTAGATATAAATCCAAGTAGAAATGCAGTTTTCCATTAAGTAATAGATTCAGTCTGCTCTATCTCTTTAACCCAAGACATCGACTAAATAGACACTCTGACAGAAGTGAATTGCGTATTTTGGCACCCTAAAACACTTATTTAATAAATGGTTGTTAAAAATGATTTGGTAAATGGCTGTTAAAGCAGATGAAAGATGTGAAAAACTGATTCTTGTTTCCTAAAAACTGTTCCCTATCTAGTTCCACCTGATCAGCCTCGGCTTACAGTGTCCAAAACAACGTCTTCTTCCATTACCCTCTCGTGGCTCCCTGGAGACAATGGGGGCAGTTCCATCAGAGGTAATAAGCAGTAGGTTGTCCACAGTCATTAATTGTCATTATCCCCAGGCCAACAAGTGACACATCTTCATCAAGTAATCGTTATGTGTTAGTTATAATTAATTCTCCCACTACCTAAACAGCAAGCCACACATCTATTTTTATGGTATGTACTGAAACTCCTCATCCATCCAAGGCATCTCATTCACAAATTTATCATTATGCATCCAATTTGAGTGAAAGATTAACAAAGGCAGAAGAGAAAGAAAGAATTTGGTAATCTCTCCCCCAAGATTCTGCATACTGTTTCTTCCCCATGTTGTCAACACTCCGTCATTCATTCACTCTTGTACTCAATCATTCATTCAAATAACCACAGTTTTTGTTCTAACTTCTAAAACATGGAAAGATGGAGAACCTAGAATTTATATGGGAAATGATCTATTTGCACAAAGCTTTTGCAATTAGTCCATAGCAGAAAAGAGTAAAGGATGTTTGTCCTGAGGAACAAAGTAGCGTGATATTTCTAGCTGGCGTGAAGTTGGGAGAGCATCACTCTAAGCAAGCTGTGGCCCCGGGAAAGGAAGAGAATCCGGAGGAACAGACTGAAGATGCACAGGGGTGGGGGGCTAGTCCTAGAGCACATGGGAGGGGGTAGCCGGCTTGGATTTCCAAAAGCAGAGACCATCCCTTCTTCTGAGTAAGGAGCAGACAATTGGAAATAGGGGCCATTTCAGGGCAAAACCAGGGGGATGCTGGAGTCAGCTCCTTCCAACTCACGAGAGCAAGCCGTCTTATCTCTTCCGCACCTTGCACTTACTGACTATACCCGGGCTGGGGATCTTTATACAGCACAGAAATCAGAAATGCTACTGGTCAGGGCTCCATTTCTTTCTTTCTTTCTTTCTTTCTTTCTTTCTTTCTTTCTTTCTTTCTCTTTCTCTTTCTCTTCCTTCCTTCCTTCCTTCCTTCCTTCCTTCCTTCCTTCCTTCCATTCTTTCTCTTTTTCTTTCTCTTCCTTCCTTCCTTCCTTCCATTCTTTTTCTTTCTCTTTTTCTTTCTTTCTCTTCCTTCCTTCCTTTCTTCTTTCATTTCTTTGTTTCTTTCTTTCTTTCTCTTCCTTCCTTTCTTCCTTCCTTCCTTTCTTCCTTCATTTCTTTTTCTTTCTTCCTTTCTTTCTTTCTCTTCCTTCCTTCCTCCTTCCTTTCTCTCTCTCTTTCTTTCTTTCTTTCTCTTCCTTCCTTCCATTCTTTCTCTTTTTCTTTCTTTCTCTTCCTTCCTTTCTTTCTTCCTTCATTTCTTTCTTTCTTTCTCTTTTTCTTTCTTTCTCTTCCTTCCTTCCATTCTTTCTCTTTTTCTTTCTTTCTCTTCCTTCTTTTCTTTCTTCCTTCATTTCTTTCTTTCTTTCTTTCTTTCTTTCTTTCTCTTTCTTCCTTCCTTCCTTTCTTCCTTCATTTCTTTTTCTTTCTTTCTTTCTTCCTTTCTTTCTGCCTTTCTTTCTCTCTCTTCCTTCCTTCCTTTCTTCCTTCCTTTATTTCTCTCTCTCTCTCTCTCTCTCTTTCTTTCTTTCTTTTTGAACAGCCAGTTGTTAAACATTTATCAGCACTCCACTGAGTGAAAGGGAGGATCTTCCCTTCAAAAAAATACCACTTGGCTTATTGGGTAGTGAGGATGTGTTTGTGGTTTTGAGGGAGTGTGGGGAAGTGAGGAAGATTTGTAACAGCTGCCATGTGGAATGCACAGGGAGTCATTAATAGACCAACAAAGTCATTGCCAAGAGGGAACGAGGCCCCAGCTGCAGATAAATAGCCCAAATTGTGATGGTCACAGTTTTCAGTTTAATGACTTCCTCAAGTGGTGCCGGACAGCTGGGGGGAAAGGTGGATCTCGGGTTACCAGAGCCGATGACTGACCCAGTAAGTGTGGCCAGAAGTCATAAGGGTGAGTAAAACCAGGTTCCTGGTGAAAATGGCCTCCTGAAGATTCTAGCCTGGTTAGAGAACATTGTTTTGGGGGAAAAAATGGGGCATTGAGGTAAAAGAGTTCAAGGGATTCTAGGACCCCAATCTCAAATGAAATGAAGTTCTGGTTCTGTAAGCGTGGGAGCAGGGGAGACGTAGTACAGAAGGTGTCAGAGTGGAAGGTCTTGGAGATGAAGCCAATTTCAGTAATGAAGAATTTCCAAACAAAGACAAATGGGGGTCCCTGAAACACAGTGGTGGCCAAAGCCATTGGCACAGGGGATCCCAGTGCCAAGGGTTATAAAATCTTCCCAGATGTGATTTGGATGGAGGAAATTAGAAGGAAAGTATCTGGTTATGTCCAGGGCAGCAAGGAGGTGGTTTGGGCAGGGCTGGAGGGGAAGCCAAGAAATGATGTTGGGAGCATGGGGAACACAAACCCTCAGCCACCTGTCAGGTACGGAAGGAGATTTGAGGGGTGCAGACAGGAACCCTCAAAGAGAAAAAGAAGGCTGGGAAAGGAAGAGGGACCCCAAGGATGCAGAGGACCAGAGGGGAAGGAAGGAGCAAAGAACAGGGAGGTTGCAGATCCTGACCCCAGAAGGAAGAATCGAGGACAGGGGACCTCCATGTGGGAGGTCTGCAAAACACTTAATGCTGCCAATGTGGGGTTAGGAACCTCTGTAGCGCGGAGCTGAGAAGTGTCTTGCCTGTGTTAAAAATGGAGCCCCACGGGCTGGAGGAAGATACAAGCCCACTGGTGTGGAGGCACCATGCACCAGGCAGACTGGTACCTGGGTTGTCGGGGTATGAACGTGGAGGAGACAGGGACAGAGAAAACCAGACATGTTTGACCCCAGGAATTGGCTGGGGCAACAGGGGTGAAGGCCAAACCAAAGAGGAATGCCTCGGTGATCACAAGGGCCAGGAGTGCTGGCTTCGGAGTCTGAGGTGGGTTTTGAATCTTACTGATGGGGCTCTAGGATAGTCCCCTAACGTCTGTGGACTTCAGAGTCTTCATCTCACTGTGGAGACAATCACTGTCTCAGAGGTCCAGGTGAGGTAATGAAAGGAACGGGGTGAGGACACCGAATGGCACATGGTGAGCGCTCAAGAAATGGAAGGTTGATGTTCGTGCTAGTATGAGTGCAGGTAATAGTGGTCAAGTGTGGAGATGAACTGTTGGAAGGGTTTTTCAGACAAGGAGAGGCAGGTTGCCGTTGAAGTCTTGGGATGGCTACAGGATTTAGAGCTGGTTCCCTTTGTGGTTGTGGACTGGGCAGGGGTTCGTGGATGAGATTCCTACCCCCTTGATCACATCGGCCCAGCTTTTCCAGAGCTTTGGTTCTCTTGAAAATAATTCAGCTTCGGATCATGATGACAGCCCAGGATTCAGGCACGTGTGCTCTGAAGCCAGATGTCTAGAGATTTCGTGCCTACTCCCTGCTGCCCGCGCCACCTTTTTTTTTCTTAATTTTTTTTTAATGATGTATTTTATTTCTGAGAAAGAGAGAGAGAAAGAGAAAGACAGATTGCGAGGGGGGAAGGGCCAGAGAGAGGGAGACACAGAATCCCAAGCAGGCTCCAGGCTCCGAGCTGGGGCTCAAACCCACGAACTGTAAGATCATGACCTGAGCCGAAGTTGGATGCTTAACTGACCGAGCCACGCAGGAGCCCCCACTACACCATTTAAAAGGAAATGGGGAGAAAGTGGTTTTATTTTCACGATCCCACTTAGCGATACACTATAATAATGTCGGGTATGGCCTAACTGCTAATGAAAACATCATCATGGCACTCCTCCTAGCCTAGGTTCAATTTCCTGCATCAGGGAGACTTCAGATGTTCTCTTCCAAAGATGTGTGAATTCTGAGAACTTTCACCCCATACAAAATGCAAACGTCCACCAGCTTCTAGGAGAACGGAAATAATGCTCTTTTAAATATCTCGTGCTTTCTGTAGGATACATATTGCAGTACTCTGAGGACAACAGCGAGCAGTGGGGAAGTTTTCCAATCAGCCCAAGTGAGCGCTCTTACCGCCTGGAAAACCTGAAGTGTGGTACTTGGTACAAGTTCACTCTTACTGCGCAGAATGGAGTGGGACCAGGACGCATAAGTGAAATCATAGAAGCGAAAACGCTGGGGAAAGGTACGTATGCCTTCTGGTTTCTACATTTCCTGTTTTCGAGATCGAATGGGGGATCGGAATCCCAAAAGATGCATCATATATTTGCACACTCGGTTGTGACTTTGAACCTTGTGGTTCCCGAAACAGGTCTGGAAGTGTTACAGTGCAATGAGACAGGTGGCCAGTCTTCAGAGAATATCCTGGTTCTCTTTTTTCATTATCTCATTTGCAGTGGAGAAAAGGAGTAGCAGTTAAAGATCAAGGGCTTTGGTGCCAACATAAAGTGCCCCGGCTGGGTGGCCATGAAATAAGACATTTGCCCTGTCACCTTCTTCTGGTGTGATCTTCTTCCTTAGTCACCCATGACCCCTGTATCCAGAACTTTTCACATTGCCTCAGAGGCCTCCGCCTTTTCAGGTGGGAAGTGAGTGGGATAGACTATTGACCTTTAATGTGAATTGGTTTTTAATCTGAAACATGGACGTTGGAGGAGATGAACCCCAAGAGGAAAACAACACTCAGTGGTGTAATTGCAATCTGGGGACACCAGTAAGAGGAGGGGTACAGTGGCACGTGGGTGTAGGTGAGGCAGTGAAGAGAGAGTCTTTGTGGCTCCCCCTCACATCTGACTCCCATCTGGTGCACGGGATGGCAAAGAGGTAGAGATGGGAAAACAAAGGCGCTCTTTGGATCTGGCACCAGAGTTGCGGATAAGATGCGGCCAGGGTTCAAAGGGTGAGGTATTGATTTATGCAGAAATATATCCATTAGGCTCTGGGCTCCAGCAGGAAGTGCTTGGATAGCAAGGGATACCTGCTTGCACTTCCCAAATTCAACTAGACTTCTCTTGAGTCAGATCTGTCCGCATGAGAGTAGAAACAGGTCAGCTCGATACACAACACTGATTCCTTCAGAACCACTCAAGGAGGGGCTCCTGGGTGGCTCAGTCGGTTAAGCACCTGACTCTTGATTGTGGCTCAGGTCATGATCTCACAGTTGTGAGATCGAGCCCCACATCAGGCTCCGTGCTGAGTGTGGAACCTGCTTAGGACTCTCTCTCTTTCCCTCTCTCTCTCTCTCTCTCTGCCCCTCCCCTGCACTCTCTTGCACACGCTCTCTCTCTCTCTCAGATAAATAAACATTAAGAAAAGAAAGAGAACCACTCAAGGAAACGCATTCATGAAAATAGCACTGTTCTTCAAGAGCTCTAAGTTACACAAAAATAACCCCTACCCACACAATTTTCCCTCTCACACCCAGGTTATTATGGTTGGAGACTGCCCATTGGTCCATAGGTCCCTATAAATAGCGGACACATTGCAAGTGGCCTATGATACAGACTTGGGCCGAACTCCTCCCCCAGGTGGGGAAGGCAGCCAAAAGAAGCTGTGTGACTGCTCTGACAGGCTTCATGGGTGTATCCCATGAGCTGACCCCCCCCACTGTGCCTTCCCCCTCAGAGCCCCAGTTCTCCAAGGAGCAAGAGCTCTTCGCCAGCATCAACACCACACGCGTGAGGCTGAACCTCATTGGCTGGAATGATGGCGGCTGTCCCATCACCTCCTTCACACTTGAGTACAGACCCTTTGGGACCACGGTCTGGACCACGGCTCAGCGGACCTCTCTCTCCAAGTCGTACATTTTGTACGACCTTCAAGAAGCCACCTGGTACGAGCTGCAGATGAGGGTTTGCAACAGTGCCGGCTGTGCGGAGAAGCAGGCCAACTTCGCCACGCTGAACTACGATGGCGGTAAGCCGGCTGGCTTCATGGCCCTCCTGTTTGTGCCGCAGGACGTGTGCATGTGCTTACTGTCCCTCTCCCATTCGGCATTCATCCTTGGCACGGGGCGACCAGCGCCCACAGAACCCTTTAGGCGTCAGGGCCATTCCGTTGGCTCCCTGTGAGGCTCCCTAGTTGACTGCACTCACGTGACCATGGCTCTGTTCCAGAAACAAGGGGCTGAGGGCCAACGGGAATCTCCTTAGGGCATCTTGGTGCAGGAGTGATTTGTCTTCGGGCTGAAGGATTCTTAACGTTCACTTGCCGAACACGTGGTTCTCTGCCTTTGTCAATGACCGTGAGCTAACGCTGCCTTTGTTGTCTCCTCACCCCTCCCCCACCCCATCCCAACCCACATAACTTCGTCTTTGCTCTCATTTAGCCCTTAAATTGCATGCGCAGAAACAGTTTTCATGGTAAAGGAGCTTATGTCAGGCCCTGAATGGAAACGGAGGCACTGATGAAAATAGAATAGCGTCGTAAGATATTAGTGTGTGTCCCGCCCCCCTGCACACACACACACACACATGCAATTCACATGGCCTTTCTGAAAACCAGGCGAGGTGTCTTGTGATGTTTAGTCAATCAAAAATAACTGATACAAGTTTTTATCCTTTTCTTTTTCCTACAACTAGTATCAAAGGCCATTTACTGATATCTGAACAAATGCCCAGCCCCGTGAAGCTGAAAGGTAGTGTGTCATTGATTGCTCTGTGGTTAGGGAACTTTAGAAAGTCTTAAATAGCAGCATATGGGTGCTGATTTCTGCAGCTTTGTGGTGACTTTCACTCAGGGAAAAGCAGTGAGTAAGTTAGGAGCTCAATCACAAGACCCACCACAGTTCATCAGGATGCTTGGAGCTCCTGGCTTAGCATCCCCCTCACCCCTCTGAGCCTTCTGGCCAACACCACTGATTAGGTCAGACCACAGAGCTGGATGGCTTAGCCCAGAAAGTCTATACTGGAGCAAATACCCCAAAGCTTTATTCATCACTAGGCAGGCTAAAGGGTGTCCCCTCCTCTGCTCATGTGTACTTGGGATCTTGCTTAATTAAAGCTCTAGCAAGAACCTCTTTGGGGTGGAGGCTATCCTGCCCTAAGCAGAGTGTCCGTGAACCCACAGACCCTCAGAAGCAACGAAAGGAAGCTGACAAGGTGACGTGGGCTAGGATCCTCATTTGCCCATTTTCTGTGGACTGTGCTAGATGGCCCAGAACGAGTTCTTCCTGCTCTAGAACACTGTAAACCTATCCCCAAGTCTCCTTTCCGGGGCCATCTCTCCACAAAGTCCCCCTCAGACGGAGTCCAGACCATGCACATAAGAAGGCCCTGCGATGGAAGCCTTCCTGACATTGGTTACACCAGCCCTCAGTTATAGGCAAGGGATGTCGTTCAAGGGTGTCCCGTCTCCAAGCATCACCCACAGGCAGAGAGCAGCCCTTCCTATCGGCTTTCTCTTCCAACATGGTTTAAGTCTTTGATCTTACAAAATAAAGGACTTTCGCGTACCAAACACCTTGCTTTGTATTTAAGACTTCCCCCAAAGCCCTCTGCTAGCAGGTACATTTTGGGGCGGTAAGCGTACTTCTTATTTTAGCGTGTAAGTAAAGTAAGTAAGTATTTACGCTTAAGTAAGCGTACTTCTTATTATCGGCTTACAGTAATTGACTTAAGATAATCACATGCCGGCACATCGCTTCTCTGTAATCTGTGGACGTGCCAGAGCACTGGGCCTCGGCGTGCACATTGGCGATATGGTCACGCTAATCTTTGAATTAGAAACCACTCACATGCAGAATTGGAAACTATGATTCAAACTTACAAAGCAATGTGCAGATTTTAAATGCTTGTCTTCTAAAAAAAAAAATTTAAAAAAAAGCAATGCTCTCATTTCATCCGAGGTCTTAGATTACAATCACGCAAAAGTCCTGTGAGCTACATTTGATTTTCTGAAATCTGAAATAATTTTATCGCAGTAGGAAACAAAAATACATACTTATATTTTCCTTGAAAAGGATTATGGATTTCTTTGAACTGATCCCATGGATCTATAGCTTCAACATCTCTTTTGTCATATCTGGCTGAAGGTTTTCCTTTGATTTTTGGAGAAATGGACGTGGGCAATTAGCCTCACACCCGTGCCAGTCAGACCTCAGATGCTTCCCTTTCTTTCTTTGACTCTTTCTTCTGCCATTTCCTTAATCAAACGGTAGCACGTGTCCTTCTGCCGTCTTGCTTTTGCAGACCATCTTCACTGCATCCTCTTACATGGGTTCTGAGCATCCCAGACTCGGGCTTCCAGCTAAAAACACTGCACAGTTGGAAGAACCCTTTTCTTGGCCTCGGCAGATAGCATAGGGGACTGGGATTCTGTTATCCCTGCTCTACTTACGAAATGCAGGCTGAAGACCATTGGTGTGGAGGGACGAATTGCATTATCTTTGCATTATTTTTTCCTAAGCCCCTGACTTCCTGGCCCTTGGTTTACCTGGAAAATACAGTGGGCTGGAGAGTCTTACATAATGGAAGGTGCCAGAATGCATGCCCCATGAAGTGAGGATGTATGTTTGAATCTCTGCACCCATTGTATTCAGGCTCTACGTAGAAAGCAGCTTGAAATAACTCAGAGTTCAGTCTACTTAGGCGTTTCCTTATAATTCTAAGTAACTTAAATTTCATGACACTGTATCATAATGCCTGATCATTAAGGAGCTTGCTTTGGGGACCTGGATGCTTCCTCTTTTTCCACAGCTCTTGTACCCTAAAAGGAGAGCTTCTAAAGTAGAGTTGGTCTTAAGCCTGTGATAAAAAGCAAGGGAAGAGCCCCACAGAAAGGGATGTTAAGCTTCTTTAAGCCAGTGTGGCTGGTACAGTCTCCCTTCAGACTCCTGTCCACTTGCCAGACCTATTGTTCCTTCTTTGATGTGCAGCTTTTCAAACAGCCTCCGTCAGTTGCCCTGAGGGTGACAATTCCAGGTAGATGCATGTGGCTTTTTAAAGCCCCTCGCCTGGACAGTGTGGTCTTCAAGGGCCTGCGCCCAGCAGTACGTTGCAAAATGAAGTTCCTTTCAAAGAAATGCGCTTCACCCTTTGTGCAGATCCCGAGTTGATGTGCTGCCGCATAAGTTGAAAGTTGGGCAGAGGAGGGGCGTGAGAAAGTAAACAAATCAGCAAGGACCTAGATAAAGAGTTGCTCTCATCTCTCATCACCCTGGACACCCCTGGATCACACAGCGCGCCTCTTGTAACCGTCATCCCTAAAACCTCCTCCATGCTGTCTTCATTAATAGCCATCTAACACCATGGCCCTGCTTTCAGGTACAATCCCTCCACTCACTAAGTCGGTTGTCCAAAGCGAAGAAGGGCTGACGACCAATGAGGGGCTCAAGATGCTGGTGACCATCTCCTGTATCCTGGTGGGGATCTTGCTTCTGTTTGTGCTCCTGCTGGTGGTGCGGAGGAGGCGGCGGGAGCAGAGGCTGAAGAGGCTGAGAGGTGAGTGGAGGCCCCGCGGTCACCCGCACGCACCGTCGCTGGACAGCCAGCCTGGCAGCAACCCGGCGAAGGTCCCCCAGCTGCCCGACTCTGTGACGTGCCTTCAGCAGGACCGCAGAGCCTTGGAGGAAAGCTGCACACGTGTCACCACTCGCACAATCAGAAACTGAGCAAGGGTCAGCCACACCCCGGTCTCCTAAATCCTAGACATCAGGAGGCCAAAAAAATATATATATATATTTTTTCTCATGGTTTTGCAGCTCTGCTTGCTTTCATTCTCAGCCCATTCCAACGATGCCGTCAATTATGGCTTCCTTTTCAAAAAGCCCTATCGCATGTGCTGTGGCAGTGAGAACTGTTTTATTGCTGGGAAGCGGAAATTGAGGGCTTGTGGTAAAGCATTGTGAGGCAGAAGACACACACTCCCAAATTAGAAATTTGAGCTGAAGCCCAGTGTAAGAGTTTCACTCTAACTAAAAAAACAAAAAAACAAAACAAAACAAAACAAAAAAGCCATGGAAAACAAGAGCCTAGGCCAGACGAGAGCTATTGTTCGCAGGCTGGTCCCATTATTACTCTGTCCCACTCCGGGAGGTCCTGGTGATGAAGCTATTTCCAGCTTCTGGCCGAGGGCCCGTCCTTGCCCTTGCCCTGCGGTGTGAGGACAGCGAGCCCTTTCAAACATGCAACCCCCTACAGGAAGAGCATCTGAGTCCTTGGCTTTTCACCTGTCAGGGTATGTAAGCAGGCCACTTTTTTTTATATAGAATGTGGGGACACGATGTTCTCATTTTAATGTCAGTCCAGGGTGGAGTGATGTCACGCAGCCTCCCGCATGCTCCTCAAAGACACGTCTGCGGAACAAGTAGCACCGTCCCCAGTACGAGTCTGTGACGTCCCCAGACAGCGCTGATGTGCACGGAAAACGTTGCCCTCTTCCGTAAGCGCTCCAGTTGACCATAATCCAATTAGAGCAGCAGCATGTGGTAATATTTTCTCCAGTCTGCGCTTATGCAAAGCATCCCTCTTGGGGCGCCTGGGTGGCGCAGTCGGTTGGCGTCCGACTTCAGCCAGGTCACGATCTCGCGGTCCGTGAGTTCGAGCCCCGCGTCGGGCTCTGGGCTGATGGCTCAGAGCCTGGAGCCTGTTTCCGATTCTGTGTCTCCCTCTCTCTCTGCCCCTCCCCCGTTCATGCTCTGTCTCTCTCTGTCCCAAAAATAAATAAACGTTGAAAAAAAAAATTAAAAAAAAAGCATCCCTCTTTATGTGACCCTAACACATTTTCCCCTCAAGTTGCTTCCACCTTGCCGACAAATTAAAATATCTGAAATACGTTGCACTCCATGTGTACACGTTAATAACCCTTCCACTTAAATCTCCTGTAGCCCCATAAAATTTCAGATGAACCGTCGATCTCATGGAAATATCTTTTCTAAATGGCGTTAACCACCTACTTAATTTTGCAGGCTTACCTTAGTAAACCCCACATCCCAAGCACTGTGCTTGATGCCTTGATGTATCAAGATGAAGAGAAAGAGCCTTCTGAACTTTGGGTTTAGCGTAGGAGGCAGACATATGAGCATCTACCAGGAAAAGAACAAAAATGTCACGAATGCTAAAATCGGGCTTCAAACAAATCCTACGTAAGCACAAAAGAGGGAGCAATTAATCCCAACTGGGGAGAGACCGGGAGGCCATCTAAGAGCTCTCTAAGAGCAACGTATTGCTTAACATTTGGAGAAATCCAGGATAAAAGGAGCTGTGTTGGATTCTTTTCACAAGTGCTCATCACTAAGATACCGAAAGGATGTTTCTATAACCCTGTCACAGAAAACAGAATCCCACATTCTGGACTTCGGGGACAATGTTATCGAGGAGTCAATAACTGACAGACCGGCAAAGGTCTGTCCTTGTCGCGTTTCGGCAGCCAAATCCAACTAGCTGCATTTCGAAGGCTATGAATTGTTCATGGCACATCTTATAAGACCCACAGTAAAATTTTCGGATTAGTCATTTCTATTTGACCACGAGGGTTCCGCAGCAAATGCATTAAACGTGAAGGCACTCCTTCCCAGCATTCTACGACCCTCCGCCAAATTTATCGTTCCGCTCTCCCCCGGCCCCATTGTGTTCTCCTTCTTGCCCAGTTCAATTTACCCTATGCTGCTTGTAATTTAAGCACCCCAGTCTCCAAAGATGCTAAGGACGCTGCTGGCTCTTCCCAAAGCATGGGGCTGGGCTGATGGCAGGCCCATGCTTCCTTTATTTTCCTTCTTAACAATGCCTTGTAATTTAGTAATTGTTTTGCAAGGACTCCTGCCAGAAAATATCCAGGGACTGGCATTTTTATTGTTGGCATCTCTACCTCTAGACACCAGTATTTTGTGGCGGATCTTGGTAGAGAAAGCAATGCATCACATGAGAGAGCACAGCCTTTCGCTACCCGGGAACGGTTTTGTTTTCTTTATGCCTGAGAAAAAAAACAGAGCCAACACAAAGGTTTCAGCAGGAAGAAGATAAGTGCCGTGGCAAAGAGGCTGTGTTTATGCAAGATGCCGAGAAGACAGGAGTTTCAGAGAAGTAGACTGCCGTAATACAAAAGTCACTGCGATCTTGCATTTTGTACACGCTTCGTAAAGCCCTCCTGATCCAGAGTCAGACAAGAGGGCAGCAAGAACACAGAGGGCTTGGGCACCCACTTCTACCTGCTCCGTCACGGCAAGTTTTAATGTGGAGGCACAGAAGGAAATCGAATTCAACAAACCATTCTTGAACCATTATCTACCACGTGCTGGGTGTAACTGCTTTTCAAACCAACGTAAAATGTTCTTTTTAATTACTTCCGTTTGATCACAAGGGTTTGACCAGGTCCCAGATGGAAAAAAGATGACTAAAACCCCATCCCAGAACCGTAGAAGCTGACACCCTAGTGGCAGCGAGTAAAGGCTTACAAGAGACAGACATCTGCCTATAACTGTGAAAAGTGTAGCATAAAAGGACAGAGTAAGTGTCATGGGTTATAGGGGAGGGGGTGGGCAGTTGTTAGTGAAAGGCCAGGTCTTGTCCCCAAAATATCTGTCTTTCAGTCCGGCAGGGCTCCTGAAATATTAATTAATGACATGAAATGTTTCCAGTTCAGTCATAGAGGAAAACTATAGCCAGAGCTTAAAGTACTAGGTGCCTACCTATTAAACAGAGCTCATTAGTAGAATCGCCCACTTACAACCTGACCCACATAAGGCACAGGTCCTGTGCCTGCATTAGAGTGAGTTCAAATGTATTCACAGATTCAACAGAAGAGTTGCTTCATAAAATATTTTTACTGCCCCCAAATAAGGGCACTTCTAATAATATGTCGATGTTGCTTGAGCAACCACCAATTAAGATCAAAACTGGAAATAAAATTTAGATTACAGGAAAATATTGTGATTTAATGAACACTCTAGGGGGTTACTATTTAGGGTCACCTCCATATTGTTGACCTTGTTTGATGTTTAGAAACTACTAAAAGTTTATAAGCAAAGTATGCTTTACCATGTAGACAAGCAACCTAGTTAGGTGAATATAACATAATGTTCTTTATGTAAAAGTGAAGGAAGGAAAGGGCAGGGCAGGGCAGGGCAGAGCAGGGAAGGGAAGGAAAGGAAAGGAAAGGAAAGGAAAGGAAAGGAAAGGAAAGGAAAGGAAAGGAGATGGAGGGAGGGAAGGGAGGGAGGGAGGGAGGGAGGGAGGGAGGGAGGAAAGAAGGAAGGGAAGGAGGGAGATGGGATATAAGCAATTGAGCCAACCTATATTTTTTCTTACCTGAGAACTTTCCCAATTTTAGAGCATAGTGACCTCCTAAGTCTAAATTGTCTACAAGTGCTACATTTTTTAAAAACCTGTAACCTTATCCAGGAGGCCAGAAGCCACATTTTTGCATGTAATCATACCCTAATTTTTTCCCCACTTCTAAGTCTTTCCAAGTGCAAGATTACAGAACAAATTCCTGGCTGGGCCCATGATCCCAGAAGCCCTAACCTTGTAAAAATGCGATTCCCACATCAAGTAATCGACTCCATATCACTAAAAACCTCCTTTAGTGTGAGTCTACCCAAAAAGGGGCAAAGTTATGTTGACACCAGCCAGTGCGGGTCAACTCACAGGCCAAGTCTAAGAGCTACTTCCGGGACTTCAAATAAGCTATAGATTAAAAAAAAAAACAAAAACAGTGGATATCAAATTTGACCATGCTTCTGTGGCAAAATGCCTTTCTTCCTTTGAACAGAAGCATAGTTATTTTAAGCATGCTTTAAAATGGGTTAATATTATAAAAACAGATCAGTTCCAGAAGGCCATTCCCAGAGGGAATCTGGCCTCATGGTTCTACACGGGCACAGTTTAAGGTGGGGGGTGGGGTGGGCATGAGGAATTGTCATCATTTTCTGAGGTCTGACATTCCATTCATCTGTTCTGCAAATGAGCTCGAACTCTCCTCCTTTGTAAGAACAAAAGTCAGCTTGAATTTTAATAATCTAAAGGAAGAGCAGTAAAGAGACGTCATCACCAAGCTAATAAATGCCCAAATTGCAGTTTATTTGGGATCAGAAGCATGTGCTCTGAAACTTTATTCCTATGATTTGCTTGCCTCCTACCTACTTTCCTTCCTTCCTTCCTTCCTTCCTGCCTCCCTCCCTCCCTCCCTCCTCTTCCTTCCTTCCTTCCTTCCTTCCTTCCTTCCTTTCTTTTTTTTCTTTTTTTTACCTTAATTTCTTAATAAAACTCTTCTTTCAAAACACCAAATTTGCCACAGGAGAATTGAGTAAAAAGAGGCCTCTGTATCAGAGAGTGGGGAGCAAAGGAACGTTGGGATGGCGGCAGGGCCAAGCCAAGGGCAGCCCGTGGAGTGAGGGACAGAGAGGGAGCCGGCAGGAGAGAGACAGTAGCCTCAGCCCTGGAGCTGTGCCCCGCCTGGGTGGTCTACTTGGTCCATGTTTGTACTTACAGTTTTCTCAGATTGC